ACCCAAACGTCTCCCCCAATCCCCAACTATAAAGAATAATAGTGAAGATACAAGCTACCGGACATGGTTTTGATGAACACCAAAGAAAATCCCATTATATGACTGACCCCTATAGGCCAACTGGAAACAAATAACATTAACAAGGCAGCCAGGACCAAGGTCACACATGAAAAACCAAAGAATCACCTCCCCACTCCCCCCTTTCACTGTTAAAAAATCACTGATGGAATAAAAATGAAGCTAATATCAGTGAACATTTTGTTCCTAACTAGGGTCTTTCTATAGTGAACAAATTTACTAGAACACTCAAAGGTACCACCAGATTCCTGAGCCCTTGGTGGAACCCCAGAACTGAAGAAAAGAAATGGGGACAAAGAACTAAACCAAGGAACAGCCACGGATAAATTCATCAAACTCAAACCTAGCAGTCACTGAGTTTTTTAAGAGCATTGCAGAAGGGATTCCAGCCCCTACATTATTGGATGAGCAAGACCAGTCAGCACCCTTTTCTTTATCTGGTCTCCAGACACAGATACGCAAATATAACCTGTAGCAAAACTAAAATATCTTTGATAAGGACTCGGTAGTGGTGAAACAAAACAGATGATTTTCAGTATCAGTAACAATAATATCCCTGTGACACCCAAGGGAAATATTTTTCTGCTTGTAAAAGTAAAAAAACAGTAACAGAAATCTAGACTTTAGTAGTGTATAGCAAGGAGGGATAACACACATCCAAGCATCTAGCGTGCGATTTGAAGACCCCCCGCCAAGAAACCTAAAGAGTTATAATTGAATGAAAAGTAGACAAGACACCAAACAGGCTTGAAGATAATATATCTCTAGAGGCCTTCATCTGGTACACTGCTACTGCCGTTCACGAGAGGCTGCTTTGTGGTCGTCTGGCAGTCCATATTCTCCTCGGGCACTACTGTAGTCACAGCCAGATCCGTACTGGCGGAAAGCAAATCACTCTTTATCGTCGTCTCTTTTTGCAGCCTTTCAGAGTGTCTCCTGTCACTAGCCTCCTCTTGCACAGCCTGATGTGGGCCAGAGCTCTCCACTGGCACAGCACCCACACCAGAGCTGCTACTAGTCCTTCCTGGGCTAACAGTACCTTCTGTGACTCCATCATCTGCCAACAGCTCTGATGACGACTGCTCTGTCAATTCATTACAACCATTCAACCTAGGTTTACTATCACTGCTATTCTCGCAAGTCTGAGCCGTGACACAGCCACTCTCCGGAGAAGGACATGATGGATTTGCTGAGGAGGGTTTGCTGTTACTACTATTACTACCTGATGACGACACGGTTGCATTCTGTGTGGAGCCAGCATCACTGGGCCCACTACAGGTAGTCTGTTCTACTCCATGCTGAGAAGTCTCTCTCGGACAAGAAACACTTTCCCCTTCTGTATGTGGTGCAGCATCATCCTCATTACTCCCAGTAGTCCTGTGCTGCAAAGCATTGCCTACAACTTGTTGAGGCGTGTTGGGAGGTCCCGACACCCGTGCAGTACTTAAAGAACCAGCGGCAGTGAGGGTTGCCGTGTCTGCTGAGGTGTTCTCCTCCTCAGTCAGCATACCTGAATCTGGAGTCACTTTGTGGGCCAGAAAACCGCCATTAACCTCTTCACCAGAACTCTTGGCCATTGAAGTCTGTTCACATGAGCTGGTAGCCGCTGCATTTCGGAACCCGCTGGACATGGCAGAGAGGGCTGGGGGCACCACGGTGGCAGAGAAGGATGAGGATGGCGCTGTGGACTTGTTCACTGAGCTTTCAACAGACACCACTGTGGCGCTGCTTCCAAGCAGGCCACAGGAGCCCAGCAACTTGGTGCTGGCCGTGGAGTCTGGGTCAGTGCCAGTGACTGGGCTGTTACCACCGCTCTGGTCCGGCCAGTTGTGCTGAGGTGTGTTGTTGTTGCTGCTGCTGCTGCCATAATGATTTTGAGCATCGCCTCCCGGCTCGGGGTCCGGGGGCATGCGTAACGTCCGCAGTTGTTCATTTTCCTGCTGTAAGCGAGCTATTTGCTCCCGGGCCTCTTTTAGCTGCTGCTGTAACATGAAGATCATGCCCTGCATGCCCTCCACATCCTCCTCTAGCTCTCCAACAAACTCATCAAGCTCTGTAGACAGGCAGAGAAAAACGAAAATTATAATTTTATAGAAGTTAAAAGGCAAAAACAGGAACACAACATGAAAAAAAGTGAGTAATGTAAAAAAGTGAGTAATGTAAAAAAGTGAGTAATGTAAAAAAGTGAGTAATGTAAAAAAGTGAGTAATGTAAAAAAGTGAGTAATGCTACAATGATTTAAAACTGCTTATTTCAGGTACCATAAACCAAAAAAGCAAGATGGCATAATAATAGCTGCCACTTATCCTGGGTGAAATGTAAGAGATGTAAAAACAAAAGGACCCATCAATCAGAGGTGCACTTCAACCACGACACATAGCAATAAAAGTTGTTCCACAACCTCCAGAAATTAAGATATTATACCGGCACTCCATAAAACTATACTGTTTTGTGCCCCTATCTACAGAATTTAGTAAAGAGGCAGGCTGCTTCGACTCAGCCTGCCAGGGCCCACATGGGCTGATTGTGACCGGATCTCCGAATAAAACGTTTTGTCGGCAAGCTGTTCAAATATGTACTAAGCCCAAAGAGCAAAACTTTTCAGGAGAGAGAAAAAATTATTTCCTTCTTTAGCACATGAATCTACTTTATATATTTTCTCTTGCCCCCCCCCCCCCCCCAACATTTAGAAATTGAATTTCGACAAATATTTTAATTTTAAGAACATACGCAACAGATACTACAGATTAAGAAACGCTATTTTATTTTATTTTAGAAAATTAAAATCGAAATTTTGTTTGTTGTACATTTGAACAGTGGGCCAACAATTCATCTCTGACAGGATGAAGCTCGAAAGTAGAGAGCTTTGAAAAACCTAGTTCTACAACACCCCATAGGGGATTCCAACTGGGGTCATCCGAATGTATGTTAACCACAGTATGAAGTCGAAATGGAGAACAAAGCAAATACAGTTAAAGTTAAAGGATAATATTACTGCATAGCTAGTTTGATGTTATAAATAAAAATTCAGGATGTCCGTGAATAAATGAAAAATCAGGATGTCCGTGAATGTCCACTTTACCACCACTACCAGAGATAGTTCACACTCATGACAATATAGTTGTGAGCTCGTAAAACTTCTGCTGAACTGAAAAAAACCCCCGAAATAGTAAAAGGGGTAGCCTAGCTTTCTGAAAGATCTATCCTTTTGGAAGTTAGTTACTTAGATTCAATTACCTATAGCTTAATTAAAATTAGAGAAGACAACAAATTGCAATAAGCAAACTGGCAGAAGCACAAAATAATGACCGAGAATTTAGAGGAAAGATGCTTTGGCAATGCCTGTCGGGAACGGCCAGGACAATGTGGAATCTCATCCTTTAAAAATCTGACTCAATGTCTTGAGAACTTCAACCATCTCTCCATACCCATCCAGCTTGACAGAATCTTTGGCTTGACATAAAACACCGCAGTATGACCCAGAGCCACAGCCAAAAAGTAGGGACTTTGTGAGGGTTATGGAGGCCATGAAATAAATGAGCAATGTGCTCAAATCTTTGTATTTGGATACAGTGGTCTTTCTACCCTCTAGCACACACTACAGTACCCCTCTTCACACACTACAATATAACCCACTATTCATGCAAGGTGTGCATGAGGTCAGCCTACCTTTTCGATTCTGCTTTATTCCAGTGACTAAGGCTTTGTGCAGAGTTATCTCCCCCTCTAGCCTGGTCGTTCGGCCTGATGAGATCATCTTGCCCAGCTCACCATTCTCCTGGAGAAGCATGCGGCACTTAGCCATCAGTCGCATGCCAGTTTGGCTGAAGACAGAGAAGGCAGAAGTCACATCAGTTTTAACTCAGAGCATGATGTTCAAAGCAATCATCAGACCCAACCTCCCAACGACACAAAATAAGAAAATTCTCCAACAAAAACAGGAGGCATCCAGCCAAGGTCTATGAAAAATTATACATTAAATTCCATCCCTTTAGAACAAAAATGTTTTTATGACGTTACTGTTGCAAAAATGACAAAAAAGATTTATTTAATCTCTTCACTGCCGTCTGGAGTCCGTCTCACTCCCCGGGCAGTGCTACTGACTGAAGACAGAAGTGTCTTTAGGCCATTCCCAAAGGAGGGACATTAACATGATCTTATGCTCAGTAGAACTGAAAATGGGCTCATTCATCAATGTCATGCTCATAACTGTGCCTGAACTGCATACGGGAAACTGCTGCTTTCTTTCCTAATCCTTACTATCGTCATTTTTCCTTTACTTCTTTTGTACGTTTGTCACTCTCTTGTGACCCATTATTTCCGGTGTGCCTTGATAGTCGAAGCAGACTTTGTGCTGTTGAAGCTAGCGAGGTGAGCAGAGTAAGCCTGATTCCCTAAACAGACTTCTCTGTTGACATCCACACCTAGGTGCTCATATGAGCGTATGCAGTTGCGAACGCCATAAAAACTCTACTAAAACTTTTTAAAAAGAGTCAGTCTAAGCTCTTTAGTAGCACAATAAAGCAGGACCTTGAACTGAAGAAAGGATTATACACGATGGCAGACCTGCAGGGAGTGATACAGACACCACAATTCCTGAGACAAAAAAATTGATTGAAAAATAATCAAAGTTCAATCAGCAAATAGCTGAAAAAAAAACAACCCATACTTTTCTTAAACTGATAAAAGGGGGGAAAAAACAACAACACAAAAAAAGATAAATGGGTGGCGGCTGGAGGAAATCCTAATATGCTAGAGTAGCAGGCAGGTCGGAACTGATAGCAGGAATGAATCTGGAAAAGTTCAAGGCCATCGGCGCATTAATTGTTTCAGATCCGGGCAATCCTTGAAAGTCAACTTCACATGAAAATCAGATACTCCTTCCCAAAACTGGGAAGGACCAACGGTAAAACTGATTTGAAGCTCAACTTGAAAGGGTGAAATTCTGAGTCTCATAGAGTAGAAGCACCAAAGATGTACACTTCACACCAGATTTACTTCCTTGTTTTATCATCCCAAACAGGGAACAAACTCCAACCAAAAAACATCAAAACTGCATTGCTTGACACACACAACTGAAATAACAAAGCTACCCCCCCTCCCCTCCCCTTTGTATTAAAAAAATATTGTCATTTCTTCTTTTTTCAATCCAGTCTTGTGCCACTGGCATGTTACTCAAAGAGACATTAAAATTAACATTTTGACAAGACAGCAAGGGGACAAGATGTGATGAAAAGACTGTGTGTGTGTGTGTGTGTGTGTATGTAAGTGTGTGTGTGTATGAGTGTGTGTGTGTGTGAGTGTGTGTGTGTGTATGAGTGTGTGTGTGTATGTGTGTGTGTGTGTGTGTATGAGTGTGTGTGTGTGTATGTGTGTGTGTGTGTGTGTATGAGTGTGTGTGTGTATGTGTGTGTGTGTGTGTATGTGTGTGTGTGTTTATGTTTGCGAGTGCCTGCTGATGATAATCCTCGGCTGTGTCCAGGCAAGAAGAAATGAGCCAACAACACGTAAATGAATGGATGAAAAATGGGATTGACACTAATGAAATAATTAAAGTGTCAGGTCTATAAAACATTGTTAACAAAACCAAGTTAGCTTACATGAACTAAACATTTCCCTTCTAGTTGGTGAACAACAATTGGACAAGAAAATTCAGCAAAAGAGGATATATACGCTGCCATATTAAAAGAAGAGCACATAAACCAAAAACAAAAAGTGGCAGAAAGGTCAGGGAGAAATGAGGTGGACCTGACCATAATATTTTAAAGTTTTAGTTAGAGTTTTACGGCACTTGTAACACAATAAGGTCATATAAGTGCCGAAGATTAGAGGTGTTACAAGAGAGTAACAAACACAAAAAAGGAGGGGAGATAAGGACAATAGAGGTTTGATAGGAAAGAAGAAGCAAACCACACCACAGCACCCGCCAACCACCCGCGAAACAACTGACGTAACCAAAAGATGAACAATTGGTCGCGCCCACCAACCAGCCGCTTTACGTGAGGTAGAAACGACAAAGATTCCATTCTTAAAAGATGAACACCCTAGATGCAACACTTATAGAACATCACTCAACAAACACAGTACGATCCATTTCTTCTTTTTTTCAGCAGAGAAGCAAAGACATCGTGACACAAGACGCTGTGCTATGGAAGAGTTTTACGTATTTTCATACACTGAAGAGACCAGATGTTAGAAACAATGGAGCACTCATGCACCTACCATAAAGATCGAGCCCCAAACTAAAAAAAAAAAAAACCGTATTATGGTAGCATACCACACAATGTAACGCAAAGGTTAAGTTTCAAACACCAGAAAAAAAACCCAAGGCTTTTCCTTCATTAGCTGTCAAGAAAATTAAAATCAACATTCAAAGCAAAGGAGCTTTAGTTTGTCCTGACATACTCCTATTTTCTCCCTATACAACAGACTTTCGAGAGTCAACTTTTGGATGAATTATAAAACTTATAACATCTCAGATAAAAACAAATAAAGTTAAATTAAAGAAGATGATTTTTAAACTTTATAAATTTAAGAGTTGTTTTTTTTACACCAATCTTACGGACTGCAGCTCAGGAGTTCACCATAGGAAGAAAAGGGTTGTCAAAGTAAGGCTTAAATACTTGCTCCATAATTACAGAGTCAGTGATGTCGAATCGGCTCGCATTGGTGTGGAATGGTGAATGTCAATTTATGTTGCGAGAGTAAGAGTTACGTTTCTTCACAAATTTTTTAAAAAGGACACATACAATGACTCATAGCTTTCTTTACCATATTACGGTTAAAAACAGGTGTTAAGAAAAAAATCAGCACTGAGCTTGGGACTATCAAAGATAGCATGGAATTAAACTACTCTCAAATTTCCATACTAAACATCATTTTAAAAGTAATTGCATACCCATGGCAGACTCATTTTCATTCCACATACTAAAATAATGTATTAATCATCACAGTTAGCCCCCCCCAATATTTTGTGACATTTTATAAATGTGATTGACAAACTAAGCGGTCAACAGTCAACTTGTGCATTTCAGATATGTTGTTCTTGAGCGCAAACACCTGCCTACTTCAGATACTATGAAATCACTGTCAAATTGCTCAGGAAAGCAAATACCTGTAACCCCCTTTCTTAATTGAGGAGAAAGACCAATGATACAACTTAGAGTGAAACTGAAAGGATCTTGCTTGTGAAAGTGAGCATAACGGAAAAATCCTTTTAGATACAATTTGCATGGCTGGAATTCCGAGCTTTACCACAGAAAGATTTAGAAAACCAGAATGACCCAAAGAGTTATTTTTATCTAGAGTTGTAGAATCAAGTAAAGTAACTAAACAGAAGTGTATGACACATTTGTCTAATTCTGGTATAGTCACATCTTTGAAGATGATTGTCGACAATTTTATGAAACAACATACTGACCAGTTAACATTTAAAGCATTTTTCACAGCTTATCAAATGCGCTTTGTCTTTATCAAGATCATCACATTCAAATTTCTAATTTGAAACTTCTATAGGGGTATTCAAAACCATAAAGGACAAAGTTGTGAATTAAGGAATTGAAAAAGAGACCTATTCCTTTCACCACCGCAGCCAGTAAATGACTTGCCAACTATTGTCTTCTACTGAATGTCACTGAAACCCACTTAAGGAAGTTTTTAGAAATGTCATCTCTACACTTATCTTACTACATTTATAATGCATTCAAAAATTCGGGGTGCATCTTATCCTCAAACAACTCTTTAACAGATGAACCAAAATCACCCATTCTTTGCACAGCAGTTTGCATCAATTTGTCTTAACTGAATTATATTTTTCCACAATAACTGAGGCTGCTAACCAATGCCACTCTTAAGTGATAAAACTTGTTGCAAAAAAAAATTAATTTCATAGCGAACACTTTTTTGCACTAAAAGTTCTTAAAACATGCATTCAATAAGTATAAGTGCCCAGACCGGAATTTTAAAAAGTATTTATCTTTCTACAATACAGCTAACAGGTGTTAAAAAAAATGTCGATCTGTTAAGACAAATTGATAACGTCATTGTGCAAAAGCATCAGAGTTTATGTTCAATAGTTGAGGAAATAGTTCGCTACCCCATCTGCTCAGTACTCAGTCTTGAGAAATGTGACAAAATATTTTGAGTTTCACAAAATGTCAAGCTTTTTTAAATGCAATTCTTCGAATACCTTGATAACAAGTGCCCTCAAAGCAGAGGTGTTTCATAAGGAGGTGTGACTGTAAAAACCACATCAATACTTAGCTTGTTGGTTCAGATTATTATATTGCATTCTCTTCACTCTGCTCTAGATCACAGTAAACAAAGTTACATGTATTTTTTTAAAGGAAACGCTTGGAATTATTCAGTCCAGTACCAATTCAATTCAATAGTGTAGAGCTAACCTTTTGTTTCCATATTCGCTAATGTTAAAAAGCAACCTGACCATGGATGCATTTCATTCCAAAGGGGGAGGAGATATTGGTCACCCCCCTCCCCCCCCCCCCCCTAACAATTTAAGGAATATGCAACTACAACAAAAGTAGGTGCATTACAGCAGAATACATGACTCTACAACTGTACAGAAAAGTATTTGAATTATTGGCCCACAACTGGAACCTTGTATGGGCATCACATTCTGGGAGAATTCTTATTTATGGCATACTAACATTAGTAAATCGCTCAATTTCATACGATCAGAACCAGCTTCGGTTCCGCTGATTCAGTGATTGGTTTGGCGCAATCTACATGATGTATTTACATTGCCATTGATATTCCCAAATCATATCTTTGGACGGTAGTTTTTAGCTTCTTAATCTAGATGAAT